TATCTCCTTCTATCACTATTTGTTTCCACGCACCAAAGGCTTCATTTACACTCCTTTACTCTGCCCAATAAAGTCTGTGGAAAACAGCAGCTGGGACCAAAAATCAAACAAGTTTCACCAAATCCTTGATGGGGTCATTTAACAATATAAACGTAATCATTTCTGACATAATTAAAACTAAATTCATGTAAAGCATGTAATASACCTTAAAAATGTTTTGCTTAAAGTAGACATGTGCTTTTAAGTTCTTCTTTTTTTGCATTAAATATTGGGATAAAGTGGAACTGCAATGCTTTGGTCTGAATTTCTCAGTATTGTAACTCCACAAGCCCCTCTTTTACCCCTTTTCTGAGGTGTGTCTCAGATCAACTCATTTAGAGGCTGTCTCTTTAAATCCAAATCTATATCCCAAACGTAATATAAAGATATCTTTGCAGCATCGGGAGAGACTCAGTTAAACTTTTCTGCACTCCTACTCCAAGTACATGACAAAAAGCATTCAGTGGCTAAAAAGGTGGATTTTCCCTTTAACGATTCATGATTTTCAGTACTTTCATAACTGTAATTGTAATGTTTCCCCTTGATGAGCACAGCTTCTTTATGCATCTGCATTTGCCAGTTTTGTTCAAAAAAAAAGATGGCTCCCCAGACAGCAWTAAAAGAATCCAGGATCAAGTTGTTCTACTTTTTTTATTTACGGGCTGTTCTGGGTGTTTAAATATCTTCCTGCAATGAGAGTTTATAGTCTGTTTTGACCCCAGCCATTACTTCTGTGGTAAAGACCACAAAAACAGACCCCAGTGTCTCTCGAGAGATCGAATCAAAGACTAAAAGCAGAGAAAGAGGGGCGAGTCAGTCGGTTTAGGTGTTTTCAGAGTCAGCCATCCACTCAGCTGTCAAGCAGGCAGCCTCTCAACTGTCTGCTGATGCCTGATGAAGTGGGAGACATGCCTGAGCATTAATGGAAGTGAAACAAAAATAAACCGTTTTCAAGTATAAAAAGAGATGCATATACACAGCTGTGTAGAACTTGGCAGTGTTGCCTTTGATTTATTTCTCTGGAGGGGGTGAAAGAAGGACTGTATTCTTGCATTTGAAACAGGGGGAAAAAATAAAACATGGCACACATGCAGCATTCCAAGTTTGCCACAGAAAATCAATTTATTTGGGAGGGCAGCCAGGCTAAAAATAGGGAAACCCCCAAACAAGTGTTGGAATTAATTGCCCAGATTTTAAGGGAACACGAGAAGACTCCCGAGATCCAAATTATTATTATTTTTTTATTCTGCTGTCTTGTTTTCATATAGGAGTTACAGAAACATTAGTCTAGTCTACTTGTCAAGTTATTCTGCTTTGGCATATCTTTGCTTGTCTGCTGCTGTCAAACTGAGCTGAATCTCAATCATTTTCCTTCCCGATTTGTCGACTTACCACTCATCAACACAACTGCCGGCTGTGTCGTTTGACAGCAAATGATGATTTATCACAAGTTTTTCTCGATAAATAGACAATAACTGTTTTGTCACACTCCGCCGACTTCTAACTGTTTTTTTTTATGGGGGGGTTGTGTGCAAATGGGGTGCTGTCAGGTTCTTTCGGGGGGATGATGTGTCGTTTTTAATGAGATCTCACAGCAGTTTTTAAATATTTAACCGTTCCTGGTGAAGCCTCCCTAACAGCCGCCAGGCAAAAATGGTGAGGTTTCATGCAATCATAACAGACAATACAGAACCGAATCCCCGAAAAAAAACATCACACAAGAAACCAAACTTGAATACATAATGACATTTGGAGCCTGCTGTGCCCAAAAAAAACCTGCACCTTTTTGACGGAGACACCATCTTGCCCTCGCAAATAAGCACTCAGACACCGTGACAAAGAGTGAGCACGGCGACAAAAAGCCGCTGAATTATACATCTGCTTTTTTAATGGGGGCATTTTCAAAACTTTTGCCTTTCTTCTGCCTTTTTTTTCCAGCTCCATTTTGAGCTTTTGCTGTACATTTTCTGAGCAGCGTTTTCACCAGCGATCAGTTCAACTCCTACACCCTTCATGTTTTTCTATCCCACCACCCATCATTCAGAGCGAGAGAGAGAGAGAGAGAGAGAGAGAGAGAGAGAGAGAGAGAGAGAGAGAGAAGCTGTTTTTTTTGCCACCACCTGCTGTGTTCAGAGGGATGTGATGGCGGTGTGTATGTGGTGCTTTTATGTGCGCAAGAGTGTGAAGAAACAGAAACGACTGGAACTCTTCTCTCTCCTGTTTCTTCACCCCACCGAGAGCTGGACAAATTTGCTATTTTTTTTTTATTCATTCTTTGATTTTAGGCTTGTGACTAAATCTGAGTGATTTGATCTGATTTCATGTTTCTTTAATCCTGTTTCGCCGTCTTTAAATACGAGGTGACACAGGCAGGCTATTTTTAAAGGTTTCGAAAATGCCCCCATAGACATACTTTGGAATTTGGTTTTCGCAGTTTTAAGTTTCTTTAATCCAATTTGGTTTAATACCTTCACACTCCAAACCTGATGCTGCGAAGGAGGTTGAGGTTCGAGTCTGAAGATTTAGGCTGGTGTTTGATGCTGCTTAAGGAAAGCAAGCAGATGTGTGTGTGTGTGTGGGGGTGGGGTGGGGCGCAGTATAAGGAAACACACGTACCTGCCAGACAGAGCTATAGGGACCTGAGCCCACAGATGACAACACATTCACAACAACTCCCATCACCCCCCATTTCACAACTATTCCTCCTTTTTTCCAGCCTTCTCCTTCCTCTTTTCTCTGCCCCTTCCTCCCCTTAAAGAGAACCCAACACTGGATATAATAGCTCTCTAAAAATCCACCATCAGTGCTCTGAGGCTGCGCTGACTGAAAGCAGCGATTATTAGTCCCTGCTAACCTGCCCTTCCACTGTTTCAAACGTTGTTTATTTGACAAGACACATATAGATGTTGCTGAGGGGCCTATAGAGTTTGGCAGACGCTCTGCGCCAAATTATATGCATGACTCCTCTTGCTATGCCGCTTCATGTGGCTGCCAAGTGAGGTTTCACCGAGGCTTCTGCCAGGGGACCCAGACTCACCCCCCCCCCCACCCCATAACCCACTCACACATACATGTTAAAAAGGCCTCCTGAACGTCCTCTTTCCACCTAGCTACCCCATACCCCTAACGACGCCTCTCCCACCCTTATACCCCTTCAGTCTTCACACCGCACTCATTATTAATGATCTGAGGGACAGCTTTCATTTGATCTATTAGTTAGGATGGGACAGCGGCTGCTGTAGAGCTGCATCCCCCCGCTGGATCTTTAATTATTTCATGGAGGGGCTTTCCTCCTCACCGCTGCTCCTTCTCTGTTGTGCAGATGAAATATTGAAGTTGAGGAGTGCGGTGCAAAGTGGCCTCATGCAGGGCGAGGCGCATGTGTGTGTGTGTGTACTCATCTGCCCCTTTGCGCCCCAGCTTCTGTACAGTATTTGTCTGAATTGACAGTAAGTCTGAGGCTATAGTGCCGACCATCTTAGAAGCTTTTATTTCATTTTTTTTCTTACATCTGTGTTAGACTTTTCATCTTCCAGTTTCGGTAGTGAAGTCCCAGATTGGAAGCAGATTGTGTTAGTTATTACCTCTTGCCTCAAACCACAGTTCCACCTTAAAACAGACAGTCAGTGTGCGAATGGGCACACTGTTATTATCGTTAAGACCGTTGAGTGTATCTTGGCTGTACAACGAAAACTTTAAAAAAATCCTCCAACTCCAACAGGAACAACAGTATGACAAATAGGAAATATTTCACTGTGTCTAATWTACTGTGATTATGACCCATTAATGTCATATTAGAGTTGTGTAAAAGGGCAGTAATGGCATGATATCACCACTCACTTCTGGTTGCCAAGAATATTAAGGTTTAACAACATCTGACAGGAAAATATGGCAAACACAACTTTGCATTTAGGTATGATATATGGCATAAAACCTAATTGCTTTGCTCTCATACGTTTTAGACTCTGTGTTAATGGCACCAGGCAGCTGAGGAATTACGCATTTGGTAAACTGTACTGAGATTTACCTCATGTAGCYGGATTCATACTCTATAAACATAATGACACCTTATTGTACTTTATGTGACTGCGCACGATGGCAAGATTTGCATCCGCAGCACTCAGTAAAACACAGAATTGATGTAACTGGCGGTGGGAGTAGTCCGTGCACTTAGGTGGGGGGGAACATAGGAATGACATTGATATACAGCGCTCCATTAATTGCCATATGAATAGGGTCTGCATTTGGTTGGCGCTCTGCTGATGCATCACAGTAAAAGAGATGGGTCACTCTGTCTTCTTCGAGCCACGGCTTTGCCAAGCTCATAATTGCTAAAACCCCCAATTAATCTTCCCATCACATAGGCCAAATCTACGCTTGCCGCCCATGTAAATGAGTTGCAGCGGATGCTCTTAGCAAAAGTCAGTGGACCTGCGCTTATGAGGACATCAAGAACAAACAGCACCATATAAACTCAGTGTGAGCTTCACAGGTTATCCAGCGTGTAGCCTTATCCTTATCATCAGTCACAGGGCGAGGAGTATGGAGAAAAGGGCAAAAGTCTTCGTCCACAGGCTAATGGCTAGCCAAAAGTTGTTCGGTTTTGAAAACTAACAGTGTCATGCAAAAGTGTATAGGTTTAATATGAGCTGAKGTAGTGTTCATTCACACCAGGATGTCCTGTCTAACAAGAAGCTGTGTTGCAAGCTTGAAAAACAAAAGGGATCACTGTACAGAGGGTAATTAGCCTAGCCTGGTGGAAGACTTCTCTTTTCTTCACACTAGGGTTGGGTGATATTGGCAAAAAAAGAAATCATGATTAATTGTGGCATTTAGCCAAAAACGATTAATATAATAAGTAATTAACATGATATTAACAGATGACAGTTACACTTTCATGTTTTTGACTCTAAACCAGCTACTGTGTTCTAAAATTATACTTACAAACCATCAGTCAAACATTTTTTAAAAAATATTTATTTAAATTAAACTGCAAAAACAAACATTACAAATAAACAAAAACATTCATTTTAACAAGTTAAGATAGTTGGCTGTGAATTGAAGCCCACTTTTTCACCAATGAGTGGCAGCAGATCTTTAGTAAAGCACCACAGGTAGTGAGAGTCCATCACAAAAATGAGTCATGTGGCACGAAGTGTACTAATTGCAAAGTGGCAAATATTAATTGCTGACAGTTTTCCTGACGATTAATTGCACACAATTTGCTTTTGCCCAACCCCAAGATTTGCAACTCTTATCACATCTGATAAGACACTTTACTCACAACTATCAGAACATCCCTTTTTTAAATTACCAGACTATTGCTTTAACCCTACAAACTGACCACAACTTGCCCCCTGCAAGTAACTTATTATTTCTAAAAAATAAAAATAAAAAGATTAATGCAATATTTATAAGCATCTACAAGTAATACTTTGAAGCACCATGTTGTAGTTAAGATGTTTGAAAAAGAAGGGATTATTGCACCAGCTGACATCAGAAACAGGAAGATGATTTACTTTRCCCTGTAATATTTTTATTTCTAGTCACCTTCAGCCCTTACCATTTAAAAGAAATTATCAAAACTCAACAAATCCAACGCTATGTGGATAAAATCAAACAAAAATCTTAACTAATGCAGACGATTCAGAACTCCAGTTGAGAAATATAAGCGTCTCGTTTCTAGTCTCACCAAACAACAAACAAGGTGAGGTTTGTAATGTTTTACTTTGAAAATTATCTAAAATATATGAATCAATTTATTTATTTTTTTCACTTTTTTACAGTGTGTAAACATACGGAAGGTTAACTATATTGCAGCAGATGCTACARATCGGATTTCTTTTTTGTTATATTTACTTCGGTACAGTCAATAAAGCCCTGTGCTGCAATAAATCACTGTGTGGAAGGAGGTTGTTTTGAAGCAAATTAACTGTGTGGCCAAGAATAAAGTTAGTGATGGYAGGAGTTTTGTTTGCACAATGAGTGTTAAGATTAGGACTGTCTTGTTGAAACACCTCGACAGAATTGAACTCAGTCGTGCCTATTCTTTTGTCCTTCTTTAGCATCAGTCCAAATAAAAAAAGCAGCTACATTTATCTGAAGGCTAKACAAAGAGTGATTCTTTTAGAGGTGGCAAACAGTATGAAAAGCTCACTTCTTCTTGACAAAACTCCAGTGTGGCTATGTGTGTGTGTATGTGTYTGTGTGTGTTTCCACATTAATATGTATTTCTGTTTGTAGCATGCGGTTCTGGCTCCTGGCCACTCAACCTTTACTCATTGTGAACAAAATCTCTTTTCCACACTCCAGTCTGGCCACCTGCCCTCCTGCAGGTGGCCACTTTGACAACACCTTACTGGCACCCAGTGGCGACYGGAGGTACTGCATCCACTTGATGCTCTGCTGCCGGCGGTGGGAGAGGGAGAACTGTTTACAAGTGGCATTTGGCCCTAATTAAAAGCAGCACTTGTTGGAGCACTAGGTCTGCAGAGGGACTCYCATCCACGGTGACGCAAACTGGGCCACGGATCCTCCGATAAGCTTCCTCCACTCTGCACACAGACACAACACGGGTCAACAAGTGAGCGCTACTGGGGACAAGTCTTGACAGTGTTTAATGRTCACAGTTTTGCTGCACAGTAATGTGTAAAATACACTGCAAGTGCAAGGAAAAGCATATGTCTCTGGGTACAGCTTTTTTTCCCCCTTTAGACAACAAATCTTGTGCAGGTGATTGACAGTTTGCTGAAACTCCTATCTCTTTCTGCTTTCTAATTCTGCTGGCCCAACATCTGGCCGTCCCATGTGGACAAGCCATTACGTCAGGACAGGAGATGAATGAAAGTAGCTATCGACCTGTCTGAGTAGCAACTAACTGGGCCGGCAACGGCTGCGAGTTTTGACCAGCTTAATGGAGCACAGCAGCTCGGCAACTAATCACCTGCTCTTTCTCATCAGCRCCTTTCCCCCGTGGGACGGTAATTGATTGTTAAGTGTTTGATGGATCAGACTAAGACAAAGTTGGCCTGGCTGTGAAAATGCTGTACAGTTTGTACTTTCTACTGCGAAACATCTGTTGAAGTGTGACCCATGGTTGAAGTTATTCTCTTTTGTCTGGCTGGTATTACTCTGGAAATTGTATACATACACACAGGGGTGGAGCCACGGGGGTGGCAAGTGCCACCCATGGCACRTGATTGGCAACCCCCAGGTGCCACCCCAAAATAACTGACAAGTGGATGGGGATCTTGGATTTTTTTGGATTTATAGATTTTGTCAGATTGTTCTTGGATACTATTGTATTTGTGTGTGTGTGTTTAAACATGGCTGGATTATAGAGTTCTTTGTAAAATTAGCATTAGCATTAGTGGTTAGCTTAATTTGTGATTAGCATCTGCAATGGGCATGTGATCAGTCTTAGCTACTCCACAACAAATTTTTTCTCAATATGTTTTAAAATGGCTGAATTATATCCTTTTAAAGTCAGGTGGCCATCTTGAATATATGATTAGCATTTTAAATTTGGGAAAGATTGTTTTCGGCTACTTCTGCACTAAACTTAAACTTTGTATGTCTAAAAATGGCTGTTGTGACTAGCATCCAGCATGTTTATTTTTATCTTTATTTATTTTTTATCTTTTTCTTTGATCAGATAAAGCTTTGGTTCAATATTTCTTAAAACAGCCAAATTAAAGCCATTTGGAATTAGCAGTGGCGGCCATCTTCAATTTCAATGTCAATTTCAATTCAGTTCAATTCAGTTCAATTCAATTCAATTCAATTCAATTCAATTCAATTCAATTCAATTCAATTCAATTCA